CTCCGAGCCTGCGAGTGCGCAAGGACGTGCTTCGCCAGGAGCGCGAGGACCTGATCGAAGGGTGCTACGATCGGGAGGCCGCCGGCATCCGCCTGCGCTAGCGCCAAGGCGTCCCCATAATTGTCCCAGCTATTCCCTCTCCGAATGGGGGAGGGGGCACCTCGCAACGGAGGTCTGGAAATGCCTGAGCCGAAATACTGGCTGTTCAAGTCGGAGCCCTCTGCCTACTCCTTCCACGACCTGCTGAACGAGGAGAACAGCACGGCAGAGTGGGACGGCGTGCGTAACTATCAGGCCCGCAACTTCATGCGCGACGATATGAAGGTGGGCGACCGCGTCCTGTTCTACCACAGCAGCGCCAAGCCCACCGCCGTCGTCGGCACAGCCCGCATCGTCAAAGAGGCCTACCCCGACGCCACGGCCTGGGACCCCAACGACAAGCACTACGACCCCCAAGAGCAGTCCCGGCGAAACCGTCTGGTCAGTGGTGGAGATCCAGGCGGAAGCCCCACTGTCCAAGCCTGTGACGCTGGGCGACGTGAAGGCGAACCCCAAGCTGAAGGATATGCTGCTCATCCGCAAGGGGCAGCGCCTGTCCATCCAGCCGGTGACCAGAGAGGAATACGACGAAATTATTACGATGGGCAACGGCTAGCCCACCCGATAGGCTGAATAAGTAATGCCCAGCTACCAGTACGAAACACTGATCGTTGAACAGACCGGCAAGGTTCTGACCATCACCCTGAACCGCCCGGAGAGTCTGAACGCGGTCAACGAGGTGATGCACCACGAGATCGAGGACGCCTTCTACCAGGTGGGGCGCGACCCGGACGTCAGCGCGGTGGTGCTCACCGGCGCGGGCCGCGGCTTCTGCTCCGGCGGCGACGTCCGGGCCATGGACGAACGCGGCGGGGCCATCGCCCTGCAGGACCGCCCCATCGGCGCCATATCGCCCAGCGGACGCCGCATCGTCCAGAACATACTCTGGGTGGAGCAGCCGGTCATCTGTGCCCTGAACGGCGTGGCGGCAGGCCTGGGCGCGACCCTAGCGTTGTTCTGCGACATCATATACGCCTCCGACCAAGCCCGCATCGGCGACACCCACGTCCGGGCCGGGCTGGTTGCGGGCGACGGCGGCGCGGTAATCTGGCCGCTGCTGGTCGGCGTTGCCAAGGCCAAGGAACTGCTGATGACCGGCGACATAATCAAACGCCGCCGAGGCCGAGCGCATCGGACTGGTCAACCGCGTGGTGCCCCACGACGACCTGATGGACACCGTGATGGAGTTGGCGCAGCGTCTGGCCAACGGCCCAGCCCTCGCTATACGCGGCACCAAGCATGCCATCAACAAGAAGGTCTGGAACGACCTGAATCAGGCCCTCGACCTCGGCCTGTCGCTGGAGGCCCGCAGCGCGCGGCATCCCGACCACGCCGAGGCTGCCCGCGCCTTCGTCGAGAAGCGCGCTCCCCAATACAAAGGCACCATCTAGCACCAGCCGGATTCAGGGGCGGAAATCATGCCCAACAGCGACACCAGCGCGGCCCTCAGCTTCCACGACGCCACCAAGCTCAATTACATCAGCCTGTCCACAAAGCCGCCCCTCTATAAATCGTATCCCGGCCTGCCGACCGTCGCCCTGCCGGCGGAGATGCCATCGCCCGAGGCGCCCACGCTGCCAGCAGTCGGCGGCGTGATGTCCGAATCGCCGGATCCGCTGGATCTTGCCGCCGTTGCCCAGCTGCTTCACTACTCCGCTGGGCTGATACGGCGCAGCACCCTGCGGACTGCTGGCGAGGTACACTATCGAGCCGCCGCCTCCGCCGGCGCGCTGTACCCCATCGAGCTTTACGTGGTCTGTGGCGACCTGCCCGGCCTGGCTGCTGGCCTCTACCACTACTCCCCCTCCGGCAACTCGCTCTCCCTGCTGCGTTCCGGCAACTTCCGGGGCAACCTGGCCGCCGCAACCGCCGGTCATCCAAGCGTCGCCGACGCGCCGGCCACCATCGTCTGCAGCAGCGTGTTCTGGCGCAGCGCCTGGAAGTACCGCGAACGGGGCTACCGTTACTGCTATTGGGACAACGGGACCATCCTCGCCAACATGACCGCCACGGCCAATGCCCTGGGCCTGTCAGCCGAGATCGTCGCCGGGTTCGTGGACTCGGAAGTTGATGCCCTGCTGGGCCTTGAATCGTCCAGCGAAGCCACGTTCTGCCTCGTCCCCATCGGCAACGGCAGTCCTACACCGCCCGCAGTCAGCCCCCTCGATGCAGTCGACGCCGGAGTGCTGGGAGTCGAGCGGCGTACCGAGTACCCAGAGACCAGCACCTTGCACGCTGGATCAGTCCTCGCCAACACCTCTGATGTTGCCAGATGGCAAAATTCTGCCCACGTTAGGAAGGACAGCGCAAACGCCAAGGAAGGGCCGGATTCAGCACTCCTCGGTGCCACCATCGCCCACAGGGGATCGACGCGCCGCTTCGCCCGCGAGGCCATGCCCACAGGGCGGCTGGAAGCGCTGCTGGCCGCGTGCACATCGCCCGTCCCGGCAGACTACGGTGGCGGACTTATCGACACCTACCTGATCGTCAACGCCGCCGAGGGAATCAGCCCCGGAACGTATTTCTACTCGCCCGAAGAGGGGCAGTTGCAGTTGCTGGCGGAGGGCGAGTTCCGGGAGGAGGCGGGGCACCTGTGCTTCGAGCAGGCTCTGGGTGCGGACGCCAGCGCGGTGGCGTATTTCATGGCCGACCTGGACAGCATTCTGTCGCGATTCGGCAACAGGGGATACCGCATCGCCCAGCTGGAGGCGGGGATCATGGGCGGACGGATGTACCTGGCCACCCACTCCATGGGGCTGGGTGCCACCGGAATGACGTTTTACGACGAAGCCGTGACCGCGTTCTTCTCTCCCCACGCGGCGGGCAAGAGCCTGATGTTCCTGGTGGGGCTTGGCATAACGCACGAGCGCAACCAGGTGCATCCCTTCCGCTCCCGCATCGGCATCCTGAAGGACTCCCTCGCTCGCGGGGCAGGAGCGCAGGGCAGGGACGTCCCAGACTGGCTCTACGCTTAAGAAATAGGGTTAGATTAGCGGCCCTCACGCTGTAGGGGCGGGTTTGAAACCCGCCCCTACCGTATTCCAAGAATTTCTCCCTCGATTGGACCACGCATTCCCTGTCGATGCTGTTTGGGCAGTTCAGGGTTGACCGGAGAGTTAGCGGCTGAAAACCGTGACTCTCCTCGTCCGCCACACTCCCCCTCACTCGCAGGCTACCCGATGGCCCGCCGGCGGATGTGCTGCAGCGCCATCTGCATATGCCACTCCATCGCGCCCAGGCCGACCACCCGCACGCCCACGTCGAAGTAGCGACGGGCCGAATCGGCCATCGCGTCGAAGTCCGGCGAGTCGAGACCCATGTTGTACATGATGGCCGCGCCGTGCTTTTCGCCGGTCTTCACCGCGTTCTCCAGCAGCCGCATCACCTTGGGGTCGTCGTACTTGAAGGGCACGCCAAGAATCTTGGTGATGTCCCCGGCCGCCAGCCAGACCAGTCTTATGCCGTCTATGGCCAGGATCTCGTCGAGGTCGCGCAGACCGCCCTCGCTCTCGACCGTGGGCACCACCAGCGTCCCCTCGCGGGTCTTGGCGTTGAACTCCGGAAACTCCTCAGCGGTGTTGAAGCGGCGCAGGTGGATGAGCCGGTGCCAGTCATCGCGCAGGCCCATCAGTTCCTGCACTTCCTCCTTGGAACCGACCGAAACGGTGACGGCCGTGGCCCCCAGCGCCAGGGCCCTCGCGGCATCGGACACCGTGCGGCGGTCCGTGCCGGTGGCCCAGGGATATGCCTGTACCCGGATCAGCGGCGAGATGCCGGTGCCGCGCGCCGCCCGGATCAGGTGCGCGATGTTGTCCCAGTCGTGGGCCGTGAACATCATGTCGGCCATGAAGGCGTCCATGCCTGCAATGCCGGCCACCTCCACCATGTTGGGGTGGCTGAACACGTAGGCGCACAACGATGGCTCACCAGTGTCCAGGTTGTGCAGAAGGCGGTCGGTCTCGGGAGTGGGAAACAGCACGGCAAACCTCATTGGCCTTTCGGCGGATTCGTTCTAGGGGAAATGCGCGGCAAGTGTAGCGGAAAACATCCCCGCGCTCAAAGGCGGTCCTTGCTGGCAACTGGGTAGTTTGAAAAATGCCCTCTCCCCCGGGGGACGGAGAATTAAAAGACGCTGCCACTGACACCAAGGCAATCGCGTCTTAAACGCCGAGGGTCCCATAAGTCGTCTTTCCCGCGCAAGCGGGAATCCAAACCCCCGTCACACCCGCAAGAGAAGGGGAAGGGCGGAATCTACTCCGTCCGTCCCCCCGGCGCAGGCCCATCCCAAATCGTCACTCCCGCCCCCAACCGTCTGTCCCGCGAAAGCGGGAATCCAAACCCCCGTCACACCCACAAAAGCAGGCCCAGGGCCGGAATCCTCGGCCCGGCCGCCACTGGACTAGCCCACCAAAATTGCTGACACTTGCCCCTTTACAAGCCTCATGACAAATCTCTAGCCTGAATACATAGAAATACAACCCGCTACCGCAGGCCAAATCCCAATGAGGAGTAGCGCGCAACTCCCAGGGGCAAAAGGCAAAAATGATCGGAAATGCTCGGTTTTGAGCGGAAATAAGGGGATTTTCCAAATTTTCGGAAACCATCAGGAGGCTGAACCATGTCGTCGCGCCATATGTCCTTGCGCCAGATCAGGAACGCCGTCGAGGCCCTCAAGCGCAAATTTGCCCCCGAACTCGCCATCATCCGGCTCAGCCGCGTCGCCAATGAGATCACCGAACTCTGGCACCTGGCCATTGCAAACAAGCAGCCCAAACCCGACCCCTACTCCTGCGTCCGCAAGGTGGCCGACGCAGGCTTCCGACTGCATACCTATATGGCATTCGAGAAATACCTCCAGCGGTGCATCGACGATGATAGGCGTCCCGGAATAAGGGGAATCATCACCACCCTACTCCCCTGGTCCGCCAATGGTCCCTGGCTGAACAACCTGGAACGGAATATCCCCGGCACCGCCTGATCCCCGCTTCCGGTGGGCCCTGTCGAACCACGAGCCTGTCAAACCAGGAACCTGCCGGACCACGGGGCCGCCACTCAACGCTCGGAAATGAGTGGGAATAGCGAAATTTTCGGCACCCAACCGCCATCACCGTCGCTGCCCACGGCCACCCCACGCAACTCAACCGTCGCAAACGAGCACCTTACCGTCATTCCCGAACCCCCAATCGTCATTCCCGCGAAAGCGGGGACCCAAGCCCCCATAACCCACCCAATGGCAGGAAATGTCAGCGAATGTCAGCGATTTCCATACCCCTGACACTAAGCAGACCCCAACCCGACAAACCAACCGCAACCCACATCGGAAGGAGGATCACACCCAACAGCCCTCAGCACCCAACCGTCATCCCCGCGATCTTTCGTCATTCCCGCGCAGGCGGGAATCCAAGCCCCCGTCTACCCTCGCACCCGGAACCGAAGGGGAGGCACTGCCACTCCCATCTCCACCGCCATTCAGGCCAATTTTGTGTGCTGAGTAATAAGGCGCGATTGCCCTGGGGATGGGGGTGAAATCCCGCCCTACAGATGTTTGGCCCCCACCGCTGGAACGCCCCTCACCCTGACCCTCTCCTGGCGAGAAGCGGAACTATTGCAGGACCCTGTTGCTGGTAACATACCCTGTGCGGGAAACCCGCTCAAATTGCCGCTCTCAACACGGGAGAATTCTTGCTCGATTTCAATCGCTACAAATGGCTGAGTTTCGACTGCTACGGCACCCTGGTCGACTGGGAAACCGGCATCTCCGACGCCGTCGCAAGGGTCTTCGCTCGCCACGGCGTCCGCAAGAGCAAGGATGAAATCCTCGCCTTGTTCGCCGACGCTGAACCAAAGGTCCAGACCTCCGGCCAATTTCTCGACTACCGGCGAGTGCTGGCAGACGTGATGCAGTTCATGGCCTGGGAGGTGAGCATCCGCCTGCCTGCCATGGAAGCTGACGCCCTGGCCGACTCGCTCCCAGCATGGCCGATATTCCCCGACGCGACGGATGCGCTGAAGAAGCTGCAGGCGCGCTACAGGCTGGCGGTCATCTCAAACGTCGACTACGACTTGTTCAGCCAGTCGGAGGAGGCCCTGGGCGTCAAGTTCAGTGCGGTGATCACCTCGCAGCAGGCGGGCAGCTACAAGCCGGACCTGAACCCCTTTCACGAGGCACAGGAGCGCATGGGGATTGAACGCGACCGCTGGCTGCACGTCGGCGAAAGCCTCTACCACGACATCGGCCCGGCCAACCGCCTGGGCATTGACAGTGTATGGGTGAATCGGCCGGACCGCGGCGGCGGAACACGCCCCACCGACGCCGTGCCGTCCCTGGTGGTCCCCAACCTGGCTGCTTTAGCAGATATGGTTGTGGAAACATAGTCGTTGCCCGGCGGTGGGTTGCCTGCTCTATCGGAGTCGCGCCTCAGCTGACATTGACGTAACGGCCTTCAGGTCATGCCTGTACTATAATCGGAGCGCAGATTCAGGCAGCCTTGCCCTGTGGGCATCGCGGCTTTAGAGGTGAAACATGGAGACTGTTGGATTTATCGGGCTCGGCAACATGGGCGGGGGGATGGCTGGCAACATTCAGAAGGCCGGCTACCCTATGGTGGTGTACGACCTCCGCGAGGAGGCAACACGGCCCTTCCTGGAGGGCGGCGCACGGCTGGGCAACTCCCCTGCCAACGTCGCGGAGCGCTGCGACGTGACGCTTACGTCGCTGCCGGGACCCCGCGAGGTGGAGCTGGTCGCCACCGGGACTGAGGGCGTCCTTGAGGGCATCAGGCCCGGTTCCGTTTATATAGATCTGTCCACCAGCCGGCCCACGCTCATCCGTGAGCTGGAGGTCAAGTTCCGGGCCAAGGGCGTTCACGTGCTCGACGCTCCCGTCAGCGGCGGCAAGAGCGGGGCCCAGTCCCGAAATCTGGCCGTGATGGTCGGTGGCGAGCGGGAAATCTTCGACCGCGTCAAGCCGCTGCTCGACGCCTTCGGCGACAAGGTCTTCCTACGCCGGAGAGATCGGCGCCGGCTCGGTGGCCAAGCTCGTTCACAACATGATCGGCCACGGTGTGCGGCAGGCCATCGCCGAGGGCCTGACCCTTGGCGTCAAGGCCGGCGTCGACCCGGAACCGCTGTGGGAGTGCATCCGCCGCGGCTCGCTGGGCCGCATGAACGTCCTGCATGAGGGGGTCGTCCGCACCCTGTTTCGTGGGGAGTACGAACCGGCCAGCTTCGCGCTGGAACTGGCCCGCAAGGACATTGGCCTCGCCACCGACCTGGGCCGCGAGTTCAACGTTCCGATGCCAGTGGCCAACCTCGCAGAGCAGATCGCCATCGAAGCCATGAACCGCGGCTGGGGCGGAATGGACAGCTCGGTAACCATCCGCCTGCAGGAGGAGCAGTCGGACGTCGAGGTCCGCGCCCCCCACGTCGACCCGGCCAGGGCAGCCCGGTTCATCACCACCCACCCCGACGCAGAGTAGCCAGGCCAAGCCCTGCAACTTCTATCCATGACCGTTCGCAAGGGGCAGGACAAGAAGCAAAAGAGGGCGTCTCTCGGCCGAGAGACGCCCTCACTTTTCTTGACACCCGCAGACCCCTACCGCAGGTGGTCCAGCATCGCGAGCGGCGTGGTTGCCAGCAGTCCAGCGTCGACGGGCATGACGATGCCGGAGACCCACCGGGACTCGTTGCTGGCGAGAAAGACAGCAGCCCAGGCGATGTCCCAGGCATCGCCTTCCGTCCCCAAAGGTCCGGCCCGGCGGCGCAGGTCACGAAATTCGTCGGCCATGGCGCCAGCCACCATGGGAGTGTATATGTGCCCGGGCGCAATACAGTTGACCCGTATATTGTCGCGCCCGTGGGTTACTGCCATGGTGGCGGTAAGGCCTATGATGCCGGACTTGGAAGCGGCGTAAGGCACCGCCGCCCCGCCGCTGCCTGCCCTGATGCCGGCAATCGACGAAACGTTGATAATCGAACCACCACCGCCCTCGACCATCTGTGGAATGGCATGTTTGCTGGTCAGAACCATTGACTTCAGGTTGACGTTCAGGACCTGGTCCCAGTGGTCCTCATCGACGTCTACCACGGTTCCCCGGCCCAGGATTCCGACGTTGTTGAACAGCACGTGCAGTCCGCCATAACGTTCGACGGCAGCCCCGACCATTGCTTTGCAATTCTCGGTGCTGGTAACGTCAGCCTCGAAGACCGACGCCTCCCCGCCCTCCTCCCGGATGGCCGACAGAGTCTCCTCAGCCTGCCGCAGGGAGCGGTCAACCAGCAGGACCTTAGCGCCTTCCCGGGCGAACAGCATGGCCGTGGCCTTGCCTGTCCCGACGCCGGGGCCGCTGGACCCTGCGCCGGTAACTATGGCTACTTTCCCTTCCAGTCTGAATTGCGGGCGTTGCATTGAGCCTCCTTTGGGCTGTCAATCTTTGATTGACAAGCGGTTCGAGGTTTATCAAACCTGAGTGCATTGAAATATATACACAAAAACGTCGCGCCGCCTGCTTGAACGCGATGGCGGCGCGACGCTGTTGGTCTCTTTACGGGCAGGGATTAGTTGGCCAGTCTGGCCCGTCCGTTCCCTGGAGCGGGCACCGGCTCCGCGTCTGCCTCATCCAGATGGCCATAGGCCAGCCGAAGGGCTACATCACCCGAGGTGTTCCAGATCTGCCGGAGATCATCGTCGATTAACTCGATCACCGCCGGGCGCACCCCGGAGTTCTGGCCGATGTCCGGATACAGTTTCCAGGACTCCTTCCTGATGGCTTCCATCCGGGCACCGCGATTGCCGTTCTCGCCCCGGCGCTCCTCAAAGTGCCAGGAATACCAGGCATTGACCATGTCGCGGAAGATCGCGAGGTCTGACAAGGATGCCCCAACAGTCGACATCTGGACTTCGAAACGATGGTTGTTGCTTGGATGTCCCTCCACCGCTGCGAATTTCCTTCCGCCACCAAGTCCGCGCAGCACCGAGTCGTGTAGCGCGGATGAAGTGATTCCGACACCTGCTGCGGAGTCCACGTGGCCCAGGCGGTATTCACCAACGCGCCACATCTTTTCTTCCATGGCGGCGGCGCCCATCCGCATTTCAACCAGCAACTCTCCCAGTTCCTCCCCGGAGCGGTTGCCCGTGGATATGAGGGACAGGAAGCCATCCTCGATGGCCACGGTCTCCCTGATCTTGATCGCCAGGGCCTCTGCCATCAGGTTTTCCAGTTCCTGGATATCCACTCGGTCGGAGCCGTAGACCGGCTTTCCGCCCAGTGACTGGTGTACCGTCTGGCAAATGTCCATCAACTCCATGTTGCTGAGCTGGAACCGGTTCAGAATCCTGGAGGCAATGTCCTGCGCCTGAACCCCGGTCACTAGGTTTTTAACCGTGGGGTCTTCGTTGTCGAAGGTCCAGTACTCCGGGTCGGTGACCTCTCGGAAAAGCCTTCCGCCACCGACAGACTCGCGGCGCAACTGGTTTACCGTGTCGGTCCATGAAGAAGAGTAGTCTCCGACCTCTTCCAGCAGGTGCGCTATGACCTCACCAGTCCGGTTGAGACAAAGGGTCTCCAGCCACTCATCGGCCTCGAGCTGCCACTTCATCAAGCGTTTGCGGCGTTCGTTGGGGCTGACGTCCAACTCACTATGGGTTGGTTCAGAAACGACCGGCATGTCCCGCTGCACTACCCGGTCGGCCAACTGGGCCAACCGGCGTAGAGGAGGGTCCTGTTCCGGGGCCATGATCAAGTTCTGCAGGAACATGGCCTGCAGCTTTGCGGATATCCCCGCTATCAGTTCGTTCCGCTTCACATCGGCCAGGGTGCTCGCCCTTGCCAACTCGGTCCGAACGTCGCTGTTGGCCTCCATGGCCATCCGGTCGCTGATGTTTCCGTCCGGCCGCAACCGTTCGAATATGGAGATTATCGCCCTCTCCACATCCGCCAGGACTTCATGGAAGGACCAGAAGCTGGTTGTAAGCCTCTCTTGCTCCTCCGGAATTTCCCTGTCGGGTGGCCTGAATAAAGGAGAGCGGGTCCACCGGTGTCGGCAGAACGTTACTCATCTCACTGAAGGACGGCCTGTTTCGGCGAATCTTGAATCGCGCCATCTTTCCCCTCCTCTACAGCCTGCTGCGCCACTGATTTTGGAGATACTGCTTGGCAGTCTGGTTGAAGAATCCGTTGAGCAGCCCGATCTCCCGCGAGCTGATGGATCCGAACCGCGCATCTTCCTGGTTGTTGGCTTCCCTCATGGTCTCGTGGAAGCGTGCCCACCAGTCCTGGCCGGTTCCCCAGGCATCTGCCACCAAGTCTTCAAGGACTCTGGCAATGTGGTTTCGCTGCACCGGCAATGAGTCCTTGGGAGAGCGGTGCAGCAGCGTAACGTCGAAGTGAGGCCCGATGGCCTCGATTCGTTTATCGGGATACACCGTGATGGTAAAGGTGTCGCTCCCCGTGTGTTCCGCCCTACCAGCCTGTACCCCGGTGATGGAGCGCAGGAATTGGAGTATGGCGTAGGCGTTCCGCAACTGCAGAGGATATGTGGTCTCGGGATCGCGGGACATCCCCCGCTGAGGAAGCAACAGGTGTAGCACCACGCTGAAGTTGTATGCCGTGCCCCGCACCTCGGACAACGCCGCCATCAGCACCGGAAGAGCGCCGACGGTGCCTCCGCCAAGGAACGCCACAACGTGGATCCGCAGATAAGTGATGCCCTCATAGTAAGGACAGATCTGCTCAATGGTGGAGTCGAGGTGACCCCGGACGTCGCTGTAGTTGAAGCGTCCGGCCACTCCGGCGTTAGCCAGGGTACCCAATGCTCCCTCTCGCGACAGGCTCAGGTATTTCAGCTCAGGAACACATTCCGTGATCCACGGGCGCATATCGCGCAGGTTGGAAAAGTGTGGCAAAACCAAAGGTATAAATCTGGCAGCGCGGGAAATCTCGCCGCGCGTTGCTTCCCTGGTGTCCATATACAGGAAAGCCAAATTCTTGCGGTCTTCGAAACCCCAGTTTTCCGAGGTCGCTTCCAGCTTGCGAACAATCTGGCAGCTTGTAGAGCCCAGCCCTATTACCATGGAAGGGGAGACGACCCGTTGAACGTTCTTGTTGGCGTTCAGTCGGATCATCCCGAGGTCGGTAGATAATGTAACCATCGCAGCTCCTCAGGCGCATTTAGCCCATCGTTGCGTTGGCATAGCATATGGTAAATAAATTGTATTTGTCAAACAACATAACATGGAATTGTATTGAAATATTATGGAAAATTTATATCTGGAGATACCCATAGTTTTTCATTCACCAGTATCGATAATTTTCCAAGGCCACTGTTACCTTTTAAATGGGTACCCCCAACTCTCGATTGCCCTCAGAGAGGTTCGATTGTCCCAAGCAGTTCAGGTATTTAGGAGAAATTCTTAGAATACCATCATCCGTCCCACGGTCCCGAACCGTTAAACCCTGCACTGCCATACCGACTACAGTGAGCCGTCGATGGTGATATCCAGCAGCCCAGGCCTGCCGCTCTCAAACATACGGCGCGCTGTCGGGCCGATCTCCGCCGGATCGGTGATCTTGGCGCTGTCGACACCCATGGCCTGCGCCATGGCGGACAGGTCCAGCGGATTCGCAAAGTTCATGCCAGTGTAATCGCTGACCCGGCCTTCGTCGTTGAGCATCTTCTTCAGGTAGATGTCCATGTTCAACTTGAGGATCCGGTAAGCCCGGTTGTTGCAGATGGCGTAGACCACCGGAATGCTGTACGTCGCCGCGGTCCATAAAGCCTGGACGGTATACATCGAGGCGCCGTCGCCCACGACCGCCAACACAGGTCTGTCCGGCTTGGCCAACTTGAGGCCGAGCGCCCCAGGCATAGCCCAGCCCAACGCTCCCCCCTGAATGCCGAAAAAAGCCCCCGGCTCGTCGAAGCTGAACTCCTGCATCATTGCCGGTCGGGAAGTGACCGCCTCGTCCGCCACGATCGTCCCCGGCGGGGCCGCGGCGGCCAGCTCGTGCATCATCCGCTCCGCAGCCATGGGGTTGTTGTCCCAACGCTGTCGCAGCCTCTCTTGGTACTCCTCTCTCGCCCTGCGACGCCGTTCGCCCAGTTGCGCCATCCGCGTGGCAGCGGCCTCCTTGGCCGGACCGGACATGTCCTGGTCCAGCGCGTCGGCCAACTCGGCCAGTCCGGTGGCAGGATCAGCATATACGCCAATCTCCGTGGGATAGGTCTTCTCCACCTCGCTCGTCGCGCTGTCTAGGTGCACCAGCTTTGTCGTCGGGTCCATCAGGGGTACATCAACGTACAGGAACGACGAGAATATGTTGGCGCCCACGGCCAGCGCAACGTCGGCCCCGGACAGCAGCCGGCGCGTCACCGGGCTGCTGGTGTTCAGCATCCCGGACCACAGGGGGTGGTTAGTCGGGAAGTTGACCTCCGAGAACGCCGTGGCAAACACCCTCGCTCCGAGCCGTTCAGCCACTTGCACCATCTGCTCCACCCGCCCGACTGGGCGATACGGTCGCCGATGATGATGACCGGGTTCTCCGCCTGCGCCAGCAGCCTCGAGGCCTGCTCCAACGCGTCCCGGTCCGGCCGGATACGATGATAGCCCTGGCTGGAGCCGATGATGTCGACGTCCGCCTGCACATCCATCGTGTCCCACGGGAACGACAGGAAAGTGGGCCCCGTGGGCGGCGTCTTGGCCTCGTTGAAGGCCCGCCGTACCGCCGCCGGGATGTCGGCTGCGTGGTGAATCTCGTGGCTCCACTTGGTGTACTGGCGGGTCATCTGCACCAGGTCGCCCGAAAGCGTGGGCTCGCTCAGCAGCATCCTCGTGTCGGAGTTCCCGGCGCTCAGCACAACCGGGGTGCCCCCGCGATAAGCGTTGTAGAGCGCGCTGATGCCGTTGGCCAGTCCGCCGGCGATGTGGATGTTGGCAAAGGCAGGGCGCCCAGTGGCCCGGGCGTATCCGTCAGCCATTCCGACTGCGGTGCCTTCCTGCAGGGCCTGGATGTACTTCACCTCAGGGAAATCCTGCAGTGCATCCATCATGGGTGTCTCGCTGGTGCCGGGATTGCCGAAGATGTACTCCACGCCCTCGGCTTTCAGCATATGCACCAGGGCATCCTTGCCGGTCATCATGGCCATCGCGCCACCTGCCTTGTTGTCGAATTAGGTGGAAACCCTGCCATATACGGCAGGGAACTTTGGGCGGAACGGTTGACTATTGGTAGGTCATCCATTCCAGCAGGTTATCGTCCGGGTCGCGAGCATAGAGACTGAGCGAAGGCACCCGTCCGAAGTCCCTTCAACCCTTCCGAGGTGCCGGTCCCAGGATCACCTCGACTCCAGCGGCGGCCAGCCACTCCTGGCACTCCTCAACCGTGCCGTCCCAGACGAAACAGATGTCTGCGCAGCCGGGAACAGCCGACGGCCCGCGCAGGCCGCCAACGTACCCCTCGGGATGTACGTTGATTTTTGAGTCGCCGACCTGAATCGAGAAGATGTTGGCATTGCCGGCCCGCCATTCCTCTTCATCGTTGATGCTGAATCCAAGGCGCTTGTAGAAAGCGATGAGCCTCTCAGCGTTGGCGGTGGGCATGGCGATATGGTCTATGGATACGGTTGGCATGCGTGCAACTCCGGGAAAAGGTGTGTGGGGGCAATCATATATAGAGGGCAGGAGGCTGGCAAGAAGCCTTTGTCAGGTCAGGCAGCAGCCCGGTATGCCCTGTGCCAGTCGCTGGAGAATACGCCATCCGGGTCGTACTTGTCCCTCAGTTCAAGGAATTTCCCGAACTGCGGGTAGCAGTTCTCCAGTTGTCCAGGGGTGGCAAACCGGTTGTATGTGAGAAAGTAACTCCCGCCTCTCTCCGTCGCCAGATCGATCAGGCAGCGGAGCTCATCGGCAACCTTGGCAATGCCCGATTCGGTGTGCTGGAAGTGGAGGTTGAAGACGATGCAGGCATATGGCTGCCTTGCCCAATTGAGGAATGTCTCGTCATCCTGCTCAATCAGGCGTATGGTGCCGTAGATGACTTCGGACTTGCGGCGCACCAACTCCTTGGCTGCGACGTGCATGAATTCGTCCAGCCTGCTCAGCGGCACGTATATCTCGGTGATGGTCACGCTGCACTTCGTCCCTTGATAGAGCCGCTCGTCCAACTCCCCGTGATAGCCGTCGATGTACATACTCAACTGGAACGTGTCGCTGTCGTACGTTTGACCGTCAGTCCGCTGGTAGAACCCGGCGTATTCCTCAAATGCTCTCGCCTTGTCCGAATGCGACAGGTGAAGCAGTTTCAGCCAGTCCTCCCTCGTCAGCAGGTGGCGGGGCGGCTGCACTGAGCCCGCCTCCTTGGCCGGCACGGGGCGGTAACAGGACAGCACCCCCTTGCGCAGAAAGTCGGGAGAGGACTCGTCCGTCACATACTGGCAGTCGCCGTAGGTGTATCCCTCGGCTTTCCGTTCCGCGAATTTGCTTTCCAGCGAATCGATGGACGCTATCTCCACCCTGCGGCGCAGGTGGTGGAAGGGCATCAAACGAAGCGTTACCGAGTAGATTGCGCCGAACAGGCCGTAGCCCCCGATGGCAAGGCTGAAGAGCTCCTGGTTTTCCTCACGACTGCAGCGCCCCAAATTCCCCTGCCCATCAACCAACTCGAATGACTCCACATCCTGCACAATGGGAGCATAATTCAGCCCCCTCCCGTGCCCGTTGGCGGCCAGCGCCCCGCCGATGCTGAGACGGTCGGCGCCCGTCTGCTTCTGCACGATGCTCCAACGTCGACCTGTCCCCTGCTGCATTTCGCCGAGACTGGCCACCAGCATATCCCAGTGGATGCCCGCCTTCACTCGCACCAGGCCCCGCTCGGTGTCCAGGGACAGGACCCGGTTGAGTCTGCCGGTGTCCAGCAGCACCCCGTTGCTGAGGAATTGCTGCCCTCCCATTGAGTGCCGACCGCCCATTATGCTGAGACTCTCTCCCAATTCGGCAACCGAGGCCACTACCCTCTGAATCTCTTCGAGCGTTGCCGGAGATTCAACCCGGGAAACGTGGGTGGCGTTCAGTTGGGAGTGAATGTCGTTGAAAATGCCGTCCGCCGGAGTAGTCAATATCATTTCCTTTTATAAAATCACTATGGCCTCGGCGGCCTCCGCCGGTATCCACCGATTGGGGGCGCAGGTGACTTACTGACACTACGGTCCCGACCCCGCGACGTTATTGAGCCCCGACCTCTCTATCTGCAGATCTGGAGGCGATAACGACTGTCTCCCTCGAACAAAACCTCCTCTTTCACAAGAGGAGGCTCAACATTTCCTCAAAATTGCCATCCGGCCTCGCCGTGCTTCCGCCACCCATTTAGTCCCACGGCATTGGTGTCCTCAGAAAAGCCGCAGGTCACCTTCAAGTGGCGACATAAGCCGGTGCGTTGCCTGGAAGCTCAGCCGTTGCCTTCAGTAATTGCCGATATGCATGCGACCACTTGAGCCACCCCCATGATCCCCTGCGGCAGTTGTGCTTCGTCTTCCACTTCGCACGTCACCTCGCCGTTTTCCGCCACCACTCCCAGCGTCTTGCACAGATCATCGAGCCGTGGGGCGTTGGAGTCAATTGAACCACTCAATCTGAAGCCGCCGCCTTCCACATAGACGGTCACTGACACGAAGGAGCCGTCGGGACGGCTCAGGGGAGTCTGGACGGCAGCCTCATCGTCGGAGTGGACATTAACATGGAACAGGGCTGTCAAACCTGCGGAAACGGCGAGTCTGACTGCTCCTGCTGTCCCTGCCAGGTTCTCGGCCCTCCGATCCGCTTCCCGCGCCGTAGCGGACTCCCGTCTGATATGTTCGAGGATGCTCCAGTGGCCTTGCTCCGCCTCTCTCCAGGTGTCATATCTCTTGGAGTATTGGGTGAGCGGGTCGAAAGAATAAACTTGATATGCCGAGGTCCCAAATGGCTTGTAGCCCCTGTGCTCCGGCATTATGGAAAAGGTGGTCCTGACCATCACGTTTTCGACTGTGTCCTGACCCACTATGGCCCGTTTCGTAACGTCATTCTGCAGGCGCCAGGCGCTGTACTGTGCCATAGTCACTTCCACCGCATTGAGCTCATCGTCAATGATCCGGTAGACGATATCCCCTTCCTGCGGCAACTCAAGGCGTTTCACGAAGTCTCGGAAGCGGTTCAACATTGTTTTTGTCCCTCTTCGTGCCTTTATCTCAGGACTGCTGGCGCAGTTCCAGTTAGTGCAATCCCAGTCCTATCCAAGCATTAATTTGCCTGGGAAATGAGTGTCTACGGCGAACGCTGGGTTCCAGCGGCTATCTTACCAGCCATTCAAACGCCGGGGTATGATTGAAAGGTACTGGTGCATAGCCACAGCGGAGCGTACTCCCAAATCGTATTCAGTGCCTCCAGATTGCCCTTCCGTAGACGGCACCGGACACTCCCATCCACTCGGAAACCTTCCTGTGTTAGTCTATCTGCCACATTCTATGGCCACTTTTTGGGGAGGGCCACGATGTTCGACATCTTCCTGCGCAACGGACGAATCATTGACGGCACTGGACAGACCTGGTTCCGTGGCGGCGTCGGTGTAACTGGTGACTCGGTTACCATCGTTCGCTCCGGCGAAAGCGACGTGGAGGCCGGTCGGGTGATCGACGTCAACGGTAGCGTCATCTGCCCAGGTTTCATCGACATGCACTCCCATTCTGATCTGGTATTGCTCTCCAACCCACAGCACGAGATCAAGCTCCGGCAGGGCGTGACCACCGAGCTGATGGGCATGGACGGGCTCTCCTACGCCCCCTCCTCACCCGAAAAGCTGGAACAACTCCTTTACTACCTCGCCGCCGTCAATGGCATGCCCCCCGAGGGCGTTCGCTGGGGTTCCGTCCGAGAGTACTTGGATCTGTTCGACGACCGGGTGGCCTGCAACGTGGCCTTCATGGCCCCCCACGCTGCCATTCGCGTCGAGGCCATGGGCTGGGATGACCGACTTCCCACCGAGCCGGAACTGGCCCACATGCGGCAGCTAGCCCGCGAGGCCATGCAGGACGGCGCCTTTGGCTTCGCCACCGGCCTCACCTATCCGCCCGGTGCCTACAGCGACACCAACGAACTGGTCGCAGTGAGCGAGGCCATCGCCGACCTCGGCGGAATGTACATGACCCATGTCCGCTACTCCCTCGGCGACCGGCTGCTCGACCCTTTCCGGGAGGCCATCGAAATCGGTCGGCGCGCCGGTGTCCCCGTTCACATCTCCCACTACCACAACCCCGTCGACGGCATGGGCGAGCAGATGGTCGGCCTCGTCGACGAGGGCCGCAACACCGGCGTTGACGTCACATTCGACCAGTACCCTTACGCCGCCGCTTCCACCGTGCTCCACTCCCTGCTGCCATACTGGGTGCACGACGGAGGCCCCGCCGCCCTGATGGGCCGCATTCGCCAGCAGTCCGTACGGGACGAAATCGGCGACGCCGTGGAGCCAATGTGGGGCCTCACCCTTGACCATTACATATTCAGCAATGTGCCCAACAACAAGGAATGGGAGGGCCGCTCCCTCGGGGATCTGGCCCGCCATCAGGGCAAGCGCATGGTGGACGCCATCTGCGACTTTCTCATCGAGGAAAACCTGGAGGTTGCCTTCGTGGCCCGCACCGGCAACCCCGACAACATCCGCACCATCGTACGCCACCCGGCGCAGATGGTCGGCTCCGACGGCATCATGACCGGCGACATGCCCAACCCGCGCACCTACGGCACGTTCCCCTATGTTCTCGGCCAACTCTCCCGCGACGAAGGCCTCTTCCGCCTCGAGGACGCCGTTCGCAAGATGACCTCAGCTCCTGCCCAGCGCCTCGGCCTGCCGGACCGCGGCATCCTCCGCGACGGCATGAAGGCCGACATAGTTGTCTTCAACCCCGACACCGTCAGGGCCAACTCCACCTTCGAACAGCCAAAGCAGTACCCCGACGGCATCTCCCACGTCATGGTCAACGGCACCCTCGTCGTGGATAATGGAACCCACACCGGCGCCCTCCCAGGCCGCGCCCTCCGCTCTCAATAGGGTACGAGTAATCTCGCCTAGAGGTTCCAATGAAACCAGACGAAAGCATCAGGATTCACATCAGAGAAAGCGAGGGTTATTTTGTGGCCTCGTGTCTCGAACTTGCGATCGTTACCCAAGGATGCACGTTGGACGAGACAGTCTCAAACGTTAAAGAGGCGGTCTGCCTTTTTCTCGAGGACGAAGACCCCGAGTACGTCGGAGTTGTACGCTATCCGAGAATCTTGTTGACTATGGAAGTAGAAACCGCCAGTGCCTAGATTGAGGCGTATGTCCTATCGTGAGGTCGTTTCCATCTTTCTCCGATACGACTTCAGGATAACGTCTCAAGAGGGAAGCCACGTAAAAACTCAGACGGTATTCGGAATCCGGAGAGGAGCAGAACTTGTTGGTGCCTAGGCACAGGCAAATTGATGTTGGAACACTGCGCGCTATATATCGGCAGGCAATCAAATACATCCCGGAGCGGACACTTCGCAGAGATTTCTACACCGACTAGACCCGGAGGCCCCAATGGACTTTGAACCGACTTACCCCCCGAACAGGAAGAATTCCGCCGCGAGGTCAACGCTTGGCTCAAGGAGCACGTGCCCAGCGGCATTGAGCACCCCGCCGACTCGGCCGACCTGACCTGGGAACAGTACCAGCTGCGCCGCGAGCTCGGCCGCAAGCTCGGCGACAAGGGCTGGCTCTGGCCCGCCGCACCTGCCGAGTACGGCGGAGGCGGCCTCGACGTAGACAGCACGGTGGTAATCGAGGAGGAAATCGACTCCTTCGGCCTGAGCCTCCCGCCCTACTACGACTCCGGCGGACGCCTCGGCGGCAACTCCATCCTGGTCTGGGGCACTGAAGAGCAGAAGCAGGCCTTCCTCCCGCCCATCTTCACCGGCCGTGTCCGCACCTGGCAGCTCCTCTCCGAGCCCGAGGCCGGCTCCGACCTCGCCAACGTGAAGACCCAGGCCATCCGCGACGGCGACGAGTACGTCCTCAACGGCCAGAAGATATTCGTCGGCAGCGACCACGGTTGCGACTACATGTGGACCATCACCGTCACCGACCCCGAGGCCAAGCGCCACGAGAACCTCGGCTGGTTCATGGTCCCCACCCACCTGCCCGGCATCACCATCCAGCCCATGGACCTTCTGATCTCCGGCGGCGAGTCCGGAGCCGGCTCCGGCGTCAAGCAGACGGTCTACTTCGACAACGTCCGCGTCCCCGCCTTCAACCTCATCGGCGGCGAGAACCAGGGCTGGAAGGTAGCCACCACTCACCTGGAGTTGGAGCACGGCACCGGCGGCCGCATAGGCCGCAACTGGCTGGTCGACCGGCTCTTCGACCACTGTCGCACCACCGAGCGACGCGGCGAGCCCATGGCCAACGACCCCGACGTTCGCGACCGCCTCATCGACGTCTACGTCGAGGCCGAGATCGTTCGCCTGCTCAACCTCCGCAACTACTGGATGCGCCACAGTGGCGCGAACATAACCTACGAGGGCCCGCAGGCATCCTACATGCGCAAGACCTCCGGCCTTAGGATGGCCCAGGCAATGCTCGACATCCTCGGCCCAGCCGGCCTCACCCACGACAAGGAGCTAGGCGCCTCCGAAGGACACATGGAGGCCCATTCCCGCGCCGGCATCGTCGCCATCCACCCCGGCGGCACCACCGACATCCAGAAGGTGATCATGGCCCGCCGCATCGGCATAGGCCGCGAGGTCCGCGAGCGCGCCGGCGCCCTCGGCTGACCGCCATCGACACTTGTAGGGGCCCACAGCCGTGCGCCCTTCCCAGCTACACCGCACCTTGATTGACCCAGAGGACTGAAATGGATCTCGCCCTGACCCCCGAACAGGAAATGCTCAAAGCGGCCGCCAGCCGTTTCGTGTCCCAGGAATACCCCAAGGAGACGCTGCTGCAGATCGCGTCCCCCGACGAGACCACGCCCCTCGAGCCGTGGGGCCGCCTCGCCTCCACCGGATGGCTGGGCATCCTCATCCCCGAGCAGTACGGCGGCGAGGGTGGCACGTTCACCGACGCTGGCGTGCTGTTTGAAGAGTTGGGCCGCGGCCCCGTTCCAGGCCCGCACCTGACCTCCGCCGTACTGTCCGCGCTGGCCATCCTCGAGGGCGGCACCGAGGAGCAGAAGCGCGACTGGCTGCCCCGCATCGCCAGCGGCGAGATGCGCCTCGTCCCCGCCATCACCGAGCGCGACTACGGCTGGGATGAGCGCGACGTCCGCCTCACCGCCCAGGTCGACGGCGACGGCCTGCGCCTCAACGGCTCCAAGGCCTACGTGTTCGACGGCGAGACCGCCAGCCACTACCTGATCGCCGTCCGCTCCGAGGAGACCGAGGACGTCGGCCTGATCGTCATCCCCGCCGACGCCAGCGGCGTCCGGTCCCGGGGCCTGCCCGGATTCGCCTGGAATCTGGCCGAGGTGCGCTTCGACAACGCCTCCGCCGACTCCACCAACGTCCTCGGCGGCAGCATCACCGGCGGCTGGGGGCCGCGTGGCAGCGCGCCGTCGCTAAGTCGATCCCAATCATCGGCGCCTACCAGGTCGGTGGCTGCCAGGCCGTCTACGAGGTCTCCGTCGACTACAGTCGCACCCGCATCCAGTTCGGCACCCCCATCGGACGCTTCCAGCGCGTGCAGGATCAGGTCATCGCCCTCGTCAACCACCTCGACGCCGCTCGCTGGACCACCTACGAGGCCCTCTGGAAGCTCGACGTGGGCCACGACGCCGCCAGCAGCATCAGCTTGGCCGGGGCCGTCGCCAGCGAGGGCTACTACGAGGCCTGCAACTACGCCCACGAGGTCCACGCCGGCGTAGGCAGCATGACCGAGTACGGCCTCACGCTGCACACCGCCGCCTCCCGCACCCTCTACCACTTCCTGGGCGACCCCAAGCAGCACCGCCGAGAGCTCGCCGCCGCGCTGGGGCTGTAAGCGCAAGGTTCTTTCCTGTTTAACAGGTCACGCTCTCCCCCAGCAGCCATCTCCGCCGAACAATGAAACCCGCTCGCCTAACCACGAGCGGGTTTCTGATTCGCCTACCCCTTGGTCCTCAACTGGCTCGATCTGTCCTCATCCGCCTCGCCTGAGCCCAAGCATCGACCGCGGGTCCGCCGAGGATGAACTCGGTTTTCCTTGCGACCCACCGGCGCTTCGCCTCGCCAGACGCACCAGCCGGATAGCGTCGTAGCTGTACCGACCTTCCAGCTCCTCCCACACCAGCCGCATCGGGTTGTCGCCTAGAATTTCCAGTACCGACTCGATCTCAGCGCGGCCTTCCTCGGGCGGCAGCAGGTGCGCCCACTCCACTTCGACGCCTTCCTCCACCAGCCGCTCCAAGTGCCCCAGGATGGTGCCAGCGGTCAGTCCGCGTTCTGACGCCGCCTCCTCCAGGGACGCCCCATCGGATATGATCTGCCCAGTCTCGCGATACGACTGGTTCACGACCCGCGGTGCTCGCTCGGCCGGCGTTGCCTTTTTGGCAATGGCCGCCGTTTCCGGCCACCCCTGTTGCCGTGCAAACGCGTTGATGCACTCGAGGAACGGGGCACCTAGGTCCTCCAGCTTGGCCCGTCCCACTCCCGACACCCGCGAGAACTCCGTCGGCGTGCGCGGTACTATGCGCGCCATGTCCTGCAACGTGCGGTTGCCGAATACCACAAATGCGGGAACACCGCGTTCGTCCGCGATCTGCCTCCGCAGCGCCGACAGGGCGCTGTACAACCCCTGGTCGTAGGCCCCCCCGTCCGGGTCGCGGGTCCTCTCTCCCCTCGACTCACTGGGAGCCTTCCGCTCCACGGGTCGGGAGAGGATCAGCGTTTCCCGGTTCCTCAGAAACTGCCGCCCTTTTTGCGTTACGCTCAGTGTCGGAAATTCGGCATCGGATGTAGCCAGCATCCCCTCCCGTTTCAATTCCTCCACGAGGTCCCGCAACTCGTCTCGAGGACTATCTGCAGCGATGCCATGCACTGATAGCTGGTCGTGTCCCTGCTTGAGTATCCTCTCTCCCTTGCTCCCCCTCAGAACGTCGATTACATGCGCCGCCCCGAACCGCTCGCCGGTTCGTATGACCGCTGAAAGCACCTTCTGTGTGATTTCCGTAGCCTCGTACTGCTCCCTGGGCCCCACGCAGTTGTCGCAGGCGCCGCAGTTCTCATCAGGCCATTCCTCGCCCAGGTATTGCAACACGAATCGGCGTCGGCAGGAATTCAGGGTGCACAATGAAATAACCTGGTTCAGGCGTTGTCTCGCCCGTTCTCTCTCCTCCGCGTCCTCGATCTGGTTTACAAAATATTCCTGCTTCGATTTCCCCGCGTACGAGTAGAACAGCACGCACTCACCGGGCTCACCGTCGCGCCCGGCCCGGCCCGTCTCCTGGTAGTAGCTTTCGATGCTCTTGGGCAGGTCGTAGTGGACGACAAGGCGCACATCGGGCTTGTCGATTCCCATCCCAAAGGCAATCGTAGCGACTACTATCGGCGTTCTGTCGCGGATGAACCGCTCCTGGGTGGCCCGCCTGACGTCGGCGTTCAGGCCGGCGTGATAGGGTTCGGCTTTGAACCCGCGGTCCGTCAGCGTCTGGGCCATCTCCTCCGTGTCCTTCCGGGAGCCGCAGTAGATGATGGCCGACTCCCCCCGGTACTTCTCCAGCAGGGACAGCAGTCCGGAGAGGTCTCGCTCCTTGGGCACGATGGAGTAGGACAGGTTGGGGCGGTTGAAGCTGGATATGAAAGTCCGTGGTTCCCGCAGCCCCAGTTGCGACAGTATGTCCGCCCGCACCTGTCGGGTGGCTGTGGCGGTCAGGCCGATGACCGGCGCGTCGGGACAGGAGCGCCGCAGGTTCCGCAGTTCCCGGTAGGCGGGCCGGAAATCATGCCCCCACTCCGATACGCAATGCGCCTCGTCAATAGCAACCAGGCTGACGTTCAATGTTCCGAGAAAATCCGCAAACCGGGCCTCGATGGCCCGTTCCGGAGCGACATACAGCAGCTTGATTTCCCCGGACCGCACTTGTCGCACCACCTGCGACAGCTCCGCGTTGGTCTGGGTGCTGTTGATGAACCCGGCCGGAACGCCGTTCGCCTCCAGCGCATCCACTTGGTCTTTCATCAGGGCGATCAGCGGTGACACCACCAGGGTCAGGCCCGGCAGGGCCATGGCGGGCAACTGGTAGCACAGCGACTTTCCGCCGCCCGTGGGCATCAGGGCAAAGGTATCCCGCCCCGCCATCACCGACCCGACGATGTCCTCCTGAAGGGGCAGGAAGGCATCGTAGCCGAAGTGAGTCTTCAGCAGTTCAAGCACCCACCCATTCTCCCCAATCCCAACCCCCGCCGCAACCACCCGCCGCCTATCACATGGAAACTGTCTCAAAGCTCGCGACATCCCAAGGTCGTCATTTCCGTGACAGAGGGAATCCAGAGCTCCAACCTCCCTGTCCTCGGACAAGGCAGAGGGCCTCAGCGATAAGTCAACCCCACACAAATCACTTTGCACTACTCAATTGACATTTACCAATAGACGACAAATGCGAATCCACGATAAGTTATGGGTAAAGTATATGCCGTGTGCGGAGGGTGGAAGTGTCGAGAGGAATTACAGGGGCACTCGAAAGAGAGATTCGTTCTCAACTGAGCAAGAGGGTGCATGGTGAGCCTGGCACAATGATCTTCATTAGCCTGGGAACGCCATCTTTGGAACGGGAGGCCACCAACTATCTCCAGGACGTTGGGGCCCTGGAGGACCTTGGAACCGGCAGTTATCGTGTTACTGCCTACGGGAGGGAATACTGGGAGAAGATAGCGGCCCCTCGCTGGTACTGGTACTGGTTCCGTCGCAACTGGTTCGCAGCGTGTGTTGCTG